GATCCTAAGGGAGGGGAAGCCCTTAGGGATCCCTGTGGAGGAAGGGCGGCCCCGGGTGGACGGTTCCTGCCAGGCTTCTCTGGCCGCTTCACGGCCCTTGCCTCCTCAGCGCTGCTGCGGGCAGCCCAGGGCGTGCACGGACCCTGGCCGCGTGTGGGCGCTGGGGAGGCTGAGGGATGGTTAGGAAAAAAATACCCTAAATGAGGAACGCGTTGTGAAAAATAACGCCGCTGATAACCGTCTCTTGCAGAATACACCTTTACAAGGCAGGGCGATCCAAGAAACCAGCCCGAGAAAATGACACACGTCTTTAGGCGACGCAAAATAATGAAGCAATTCTGGCTGGCCCTGTACAACGGGCAAGCTGTAAATAGCTTCCACGTAATCTGTCTTTTGCTGTTATCTGTGTCCAAGTGTGAGCATTTGATTTTGTTTGTTCTTTACTAGGATGCAGGCACAGGCGGGGCACATTTACAGCATAGTAATGGCAAGAAACACTGGTTAATATTGCAAGGTTCTGTACGCACCAAAAACACAAAAGGGACCAAGAAAGGAACAGAAAAATTGTCCAAATTGTCTAAACCACAGCCCTGACATTAGACTACAACCTATAAAAATACGTTGCGGAGTCTGTAAGTGGAGAGGCCGTACAAGTTCTGTACAAGTTCTTGTGCGTGTAGCCCCTGGGAATAAAACAGCTGGACCTTTTGGTTGCATCTGTCGCTGCACGGACACCCGGGTCAGGGAAGCACGGCCACGCAGGCGGGCAAGGACAACACGGAGTCGGGTGTTGGGAGACACATGGGCACGGGGCGGGAGCTGCGGCGTCCCGGCGCTCGCACCCCGGAGCGGCAGCAGCTCTCGGAATTCCGCAGGAATCCGGCCGAGCTGGGAGCCTTCCCTCATCCCGGCCGGATCCCACAGGCGGCTGAGAGGCAGCGCCAGCTGGCTCCGCGAGCGCTTCCCAGCCTTGTCCGGAGGGGGAAATGCCGCCACACGCTCCCTTCAAAATGCACCAGCTGTTGGGGCAAGTGGTCTGCCCGTCACACTCACTCCGTGAATTACATTCCCGTACGGAGCACGTGTCCCTGCAGTGCCCTGATTTTCTGGAGGGAGATGCAGTCCCTTTCTACAGACCAGTCCTGACACTTAGAAAAACACAGCTCCGAGACAGTCACTTTGTGCTCCGAAAGCAGCTCCCCCCCCCTTTTTTTTTCTCTAAGTAAATTAGATGATTTTAGTGAATGTTTAGTGGTATTTAGTGAGTATTTCCAATAAATATTGCCTCACCTCTTCTTTAATAAGTACTTACGGTATTTGTTTCAGAAATTATATGAATAGGGATAAAACTACAGATTTAGCACACAAAATTATAGATCTGGTACATATGAGTTTCAATAATTATGTTACATCAACTGAGAATGTTCTCGTATTTTGTCTGACTGAATTACCTAAATTCTCTTTAAACTCACCTGTCATTTACGTTAGCGTCTCTCTTGTCTCAATATTTTAGCCTGCTGTTTGTTAGCAAATCCATCCTGAAGCGCACAGAGTGACAAGCAGCAGCCTGTGCCCCTTTGGGAAGAGGTGCTATAGGAAGGGGCTGTTGTGATGACATAGGTTTTACCGGATTTTTGAGGATTTTTTGCCACGCAGACTGAAAACATGGGTCTTTTTCCAGGCCCATGGGGGTTGGAAGAAGACACTTTCTTGATCCTCCATGAGAAACTGAGGAAAGCTGTTTTACCTTTGGGAATTCTGCTTCTCCTGTCTCAATTTTTATTTCAAGGAATGTTTGTATGTAAACACACCCAACCAGGCATGTGAGTCATCTCACTGGAACGAAGGACATGACTCAGTTATGTCCCTCTCTGATCCATGCTGAACGGGGGTCCTGAAGCCAGAGATATTAGGACACATTAAGCCACCATTCAGGAACCAAAATAATTCAGAATTTCTGAATTGCTCTTTGGGAGTGAGAAGCAGATTTTTTTTTCAGAATGTCATATTACAGACCATAGCACCGAGGTGAAGTGCAGTGCCTATAAACTCGCCATATGCGTCCATAAACTCCAAACTGTTTAAAAAACTCAAAACTGTTCTTTATTCTTAGAGCTAGAATCTGGTCTGTGTTGTTTTCATTGATTAGATGTCTACAGATGGAACTAAAACTTTATTAATAGCCCCAGCCTCCCTGCTAAGTCGCTGAGATCGTTCAGTCGCTCGACACCATATACAGTTCTGAGAATGAAAATGTAAATCTTCATACATGTTACATATATGTTTAATACAGTGATTTAACAGGAAATAATCAGAATTTTTAGAACCGTAGGCATGTAAGAAAACAAAGTACAAAAACCAACATGCCAAAATATATTCAAGGACAGGTTTTGAGGCATTGCTGTTACTGTATCAGTAGTGACATACCTTAAAAAGGCCCGTTTCAGTAGAAATAGGAGAGTTTATGACAAATTACATCATATTCATTACAGGCGTGTCACCCAGAAAGAGTGAGTGAAAGAAGTTACACATCCTTATACATCATGCAAAAATGCAGCCCTTTCCTCAGCCCATCTACAGCTGCGTTCTGCTGTTACAGTAATGGATGGGAAACTGAAGCTAATTCATCTTAAAGATTCACATGGGAGTCTTCCTTGCAAAAGAATATTTTTAGGTTAAGAGAAGACGTTTCAGCCAATTTTTCACTCCCAGAGATGCCTGGGCTTTGCTGCTGCGTGGTTGCAAAAGACCTCGCTGGCCCGTGGCGGCTGGTGCAGTGCAGGGCTGCCAGCCTGAAGTTGGGAAGTTTGGAAAACTGGGGGCTGCACCAGCATCGGCAGAGAAGAAAAGTGAGATTACCTTCACGCTGCCCTCCTGAACTGCAGGGTGCACAAGTTGGATGCACCCCAACGTGGCAAGCGCAGAATTACTTCTGCACTTGGAAAAGTGTCTTTTAATGCAACAGAAAAGTGAGGGAGATCTGGGAGCACTGTTGTGCTCAAGAGCTGCACCCTCAAAAGGCTTTTTGGATATCATGAAATATTTGCACTTAAATTCATACTTAATGAATTTAATTGTTGCAGTAAACTAATTTAGTGAGACTGTTTACATATAGATTCTTATCTATTCAAAAATAACTCCAAGGAGCCGCGTGTCTAAATATATACCATGCAATATATACCATGGTATAAATATATACCATGGGGTACTTTTAATGGGAGGAATTTAACAAATTGAAAATGTTTACATTCCCTTAGTATCACATCCTCATCAGTTCCACTTATGGCTTTTCTAGCAATGGTACTTTTCAACAAGCTGTCGCATTCATTCTGATGTATTTTCAGCATTTACAGTCCAATTCCATATGTTAAAAAAAAAACCTATCTCCTTTTAAATTATACTAGACTACGCTGCAAAGCAAAGCAAAATAAACTGCATTTGCACTTACTTTTGTGGTCTAGCAGGGTTATAGTTTAGAGGTCAGTTTCTTCTAGCATTTTCGCATTGGTGATTTTTGTAAAAGTATTAATCTTAAAAGTTAATCAGAGACCTGAAGATTCTGTTTTAACAGCACAGTAATATGTGACTGAGTTTAACGTAAAGCTTTGCCAAGCAGCTTGGAAGTTAGCGTCAACTTAGCACTGAAGCAGAACATTGTATTTGAGTTTGCCAGCTGGATAAACAAACACATATTAAAAGTTTGCTGGCATAAAGCAAGCCACTGATCCCAGCTACAGCCGTCTAGCATCTGAAAGAAGCTTGGTGCATTTATTTTTTATAAATTGCCCTGATTTGTTATTGTGTTTTTTATTTGGTTAACAAAGTCCGAGGCTTTCGTCCTTTCCCATCTTTGTAGTTACTCCTTATCTGAGAAACCACAATGTGGTAAGTGCTGGCAGGCCCTGAACACAGGAGGTTTTTGTGCCACTGTAGAAAGATGAGGGCTGGAAAAATCCCAGCTTCTGAAGTCAGTGGCAGATCTCTTGTCTAAGCATTACACTGCAGCAGCAAAGCAAACTTGTATTGGGCTACCTGTTTATAATGCTGTCATATATATGTATGATTAATTTTAATAGTCTCCAGCCAGACGAACTGAGGAGTTACAAACCTCTTCTAAGGGAACATTCATATTTTACATTAAACTCCAGTCAAAACATGATTTGAATCCTAACTTTCTTCCTTTTCCAACGATTCCAGCCCTAGCGACGTACAAAGAGCAGCTCAATGGGAAGCTCCCAAAGCCAGAGCCGAGCGGCCCAGGCTGGTTTTCCTCTACGGTGAGTTTAAACAGAGTATGGTTAAGAGTGGGAAATAGTTCCCAGTCTCTCCTAAGCGGTCTCACCTATTAAGTGCTGAGATTGAGAAATGGAAAGTGCAGAAAACTCCGCTTCTTCCCTGCTTTTTCTTGGCTCTGGTATCCGCAGCACCTCCCCAGCAGCCGCCACGTGGGACACAACGCGGCTACAAGAGCAGCAGCCCCTTAGCCTTTTGCCCAGGGCTCGAGTGTCCTCCTCCCTTCCTTCTGGAGGAGCTCCGTGGTCCTCGTTGGGCTCGGCAGCCACTCGGTGCCTCCCGAGAGGTGCTCCAGGCCCCGCGGCTCGGAGAGGAGCAGCCGCCGGGCGCTGAGGTGAGAGGGGGCTGTGGCAGCACTTGGAGAAAATATGTTGATAGGAGACCACATCAAGGAGGGCTGTGAGTGCTTTGCAAGTGTTTTTTTTTTCCCCTATCAAGTCACAAGCAGTGCCGTAAACACAGAAATGGCCTTTAGCACCACTTAGATGCAGTTATACAGGAGAGATTACAAGAAACGGGGACGAAGGCAGGGCCTCTACATAAAATAGCCTGGTCTCTATAGTCCCTGCACTGCTCCATCCACGCCAACCTTCAGGCAACCTTTTCTGCATTTTGGGGCAGTTTTCTGTGGCAAGAAAGGGCTTTTAACACTGTAGGGAGACAATCTTGCACACAGCTAAATAAGAATAGTGAATTTGCTAAATGTTTACCCATGCACAAAGCAGATCCATATGGACCACAGCTTATGCAAAGAGTGTTCCAGGTGCACGGCAGCTTGGGCTTTGAAACAAACACTCCCAAATAGCACCTCTTAGCCGGTTCAACAAAGCCAGAGCAGCTGGTTTTAAAAAATTAGGACATGTTGAAATTACTGACTTTGAGACTGACGTCAACTGCACTTTCTTTAGTATCCCAAAGCATATATTTAACCTAAGGTTATTTAGTAAGCCTGGTTTAAGTTATGTTGTTAGATAAAACCAGGAAAGGATTCCAAAGCACTAACAACGCATTGATTTTAGTCACGTGGGGCCGCTTTGGTGCTCTCTTTCTAATACCTCCTGGCCAAAGCTACACTTTCTGCAGCCAGTGAGCTCCACAGAAATATTAAGGAAGTAGAGGAATTATTTATGTCGCTGATAGACAGGTTTAGGCAAACACATCCATAAAGGCTGAAAGCACCCAGAGGTTTCCATTGCTTCACAACTTCTCTCTCCTTTAGCTCAGACCTTTACCTGGATTTAGGGTTTGCTCATGAGGGTGTCTGGCTTTTTTAAAGCCATCGGTACCTTTGCTCTCAGTCTTTTTGAACTTTCAAAATTGTGCAGCCTTCACTGAGCTGCAACAAATCTTTCCGACTCTCCTGTCTTGCTAATACAATACTTTGCATCTTCAAAACACTATGTAAGCATTTTATGTTTGATTTATTGCCTCCTTATGTCCCTGAAAGCACTTAAAATTGTCTTTATAAAATATGCATATGTTAAACACATTATACATCTCAGTGAGTCTACTCCAAAATGTTTTCCAAATCATCAGCCAAAACAGGCAGTCTGCACAGCCAGCTATTCCCCTCAGAAAATAAACATATCAAAGATTCCCCCGGAAGATCTTAC